GTGTTAATCATAAAAGGAAAGAAACATAGTAAGATTTGGATGATGCCTTCCAGAGTGGTAATTAAAAATTTGTCAGGACACTTCTAGAACAATTAAAACCTTATCTGCTAGAATTGGGCTTTTCTGGAAACACAAACCCTTAGGCCTGGAGCTCCAGGCAGTATAAGTAGCTGAGGATTAAACTGTAAAAACTTCTGAATGTCTTGACAATTGAATTTTAGAGAATTAGAAGTCTGAGAGTCAGATATCTCTAAGGTTGTGCAACCACATGATCCTTAGAATGTGTTTGTAGGACAGCTTTTGTTTGTAGGCAGAACTTGAGAGCTTCAAATGCTCTTTTTCTTTTCTTTTTATTTCCTTTCCTTTTTTTTTTTTTTCCCAATCTCCCCCACTAGTGTACAGGGGAGATGACAGATATTACTGGGCTTCTGGCAAGTTCCAGTCTGCTGGGATTGATGTGTTAAACATCTTTAATAAAATACTTCACTTGGTTAAGTGCTCACAGAAAGAACTAGATGGATTTTGAAAGTGTGCTCTGAGTAAAAATGTAGATGAGCTGTGGATTCTAAGCTGTGAAACTTTGAAGTTTAAAAACAAAGTGGAGGTGTTTGAGGATATAATCTATCAGGTTTTTTTCTCCCATTTTCTTGATAAACAGTTTAATTACAATTTCTATTGGATTATAGTAATTCAGTTCAAAAAGTTTTGTTGACTTTTTTTTTTTTTTTCATTTTCCACAAGAGACTCGTGTCGAGTCAGCCTATAAGATGCCTAACTTCTGCTTAGGGACAACAGGGAACCACACAGGGAATGGACTTGCAGAAGTGGCTTTTGCCTCATGGATAATCTGAAACTCACTTGAGGAAACTGCAGGCTGTTGCAAGTGTTTTGTTTTCCTGTTCAGCAGTTACTGAAGATGTTATGTCCTTGTAATGCCATGACAGTTGATGTTTTGTTCTAAATACTTTCATTGAAAAATACTTTCAAGTGGAGTTACTAAAACTAAAAGAGAAGTGCCACCTTTCTTCAAATTGCAGAGGGTGTTCATGCTTCCCAGACAATGGCCCTGAGTCCATCCCAGGAATAACACCCCTCTCATTTTTTGACTTATAAAGAAATTTATGCAGACCATAAGTCAATGCTGGACTGAAACACAGTTCAGTATTTTAATTCATATGGTGCTGAGGTTGTTCTCCTTGTGTCCACCCTTAATAAACTATATAGATATTTATAGTTTGTTTCAGTCTGTATGTTGTGTTTGAATTCTTCTTTAAGTACTGGAACATAGGATAGCTGCAAACCAGTTTTTGTGCCTCACTGGAGGTATCTTGGTGCTTTACTTTGCAATCCATGCTTGGTTTGGAGGACATGTTAAGAATGAAGTAGTGTTAGTGTTACCAAATACAGGTCTGAAAGCTGATATCTAGAACCACTTTCTGAAAAACTTGATGCAATACGATTTCTCCTGAGTAAGCAATCAAACTGAAAAACTACAACGTAAAAGGTGACTGTTCCCCTTCTTCCCTTACCTGCTCCATGTGCATTACATACACACATGTGCACACACACTTTGCTGAGTAAGTCACCTCCTTAGAGTGGTGAAGGATTCCTTTCTTTCCAGTTGCACACTGATGATGAGGAGGAATCAAAGGGCTCTTCCAATTGATTCAAATGCAGTCACTTTTTTGACACTAAGACTTAGTGCTGTGCGACTCTTTTTCCTTGCTTAGAATGCTGAATTGAAGTAACACAGCCTACCTACACTGTGTGTTTTTTTCATATTATACTAATTTTTTAATTCTCTTCTCGAGGCAGATAGTGGTGTAGACTGAACAAGAACAATAAATGTACTTATATAAGCTCATTTGACTTTCCAGTTTTTGAAGATGGCAGATTGTAACGCTCCTTTCGACAGACATACATAAATGTGAGGAGTAAATGGATTCAGAAAGTGCAACAAGTATGTGATTCAGAAGTGGCAATGTCTTCTTGCCATGAAGATAAACCACAGTGTTTGGTTCATCGAAGAAATCTGAGTAATACAACAGGGTTGTGGGAGAGAAGTGAAAAGATGCAGTCTTAAAGGCAAAACCAAATTGTCAGTGAAACCATTTTAGCTCAGGAAGAAAATAAAAGCATTAAGTATCAAGGTTTATTTGTGTAGTTTTGCTTTATTGAAATAAAATGCCATGTTGCTTATATTTACCTGGGTTTTTTTTCCTCTCTGGGAGTACAGATTTTTGCCCAGCTCTTAAATCAGCGACGCAATTCATGGTAATGTTCAGGCTTAAAATTTTTCACTTGAGCAAGCAAAACTATTCTCAGCAAAATTAGAAGTAGGAAGGGTGTCTAAGGCTCACATCTTAATATTTTTTTTTTCCCCTGTGAGGGTGCCTGAGCACTGGCACAGGTTGCCCAGAGAGGATTTGGAGTATCCGTGCTTGGAGATACTCAAAAGACACTTGGACATGGTTCTGGGTAACCAGTTCTAGGTGTCTGTGCTTGAGCAGGGAGAATGGACCAGTTGACCTCTGGAGGTCCTTACCAACCTCAGCCATTCTGCATTTCTCCAAAGTTTTTGTGTGTGTGCATGGGGGAAAAATTCTGTACCTTTCATTTACTTACAAGTAACAGCTATTTGGCAGGTACACAAATGTATGTAAGTATGAACTAATGGGCCTGGAACATTAATGTTTTCGTAGACCACAGTCTTATGGGTGTCTAATTGAGATTAAATATTTACCTATATGCTTTAAGTGTCTTAATTGTATTTTTATATACTGGGCTGTTACCAGGTATTCATTAGTGCCTAAGACAGAATGTTTTTATCTAGTTACCTTACTGAAGTTCTTAAAAATATTGCTATTTTTAAATTATCATCTATGTCTGAGTCCTAGTGCATGTGTGCTGTGTAATACAAAGATTGGTTCGTGCTAATGGTACTTCTGGCCAAAAGCATTGGTTATCTCTGAGTACTTGCTGTGAGCTTTTCTTTTTTGAGTGATTGTTACTTGTATTGTTTTAATTTTACCTGTCTTCAGAGAACACTTGCAGAAAATATGAAAAAATGTAATCTACATTGACTATCTCCATCACAGTCTGTTTGTTCTTCATCTGTTTTGACAATTCAAGGGAGGAGGATTTGGTGTTAAGGTCACTATGTCAAACGAAATGTTTTCTAGGTTTGTCCAGAAGAATCTGTTACTGTGAAAATTGAAGTGAGAGAGGCTGAGATTTGTGCATGTCTCATAGTAGAGAAATAAGGAATCTGCTTTCTGTGGATAAAGCCTTCAGAAACCCAGGTGGCAGCTTTGGTTTTCTTTGCCTAGGCAAGGAAAGAAGTCTTCAAGTTACTTGGAAAGCTTGGAGGAGATCTCTGTGCATGTGGCTGTTAATGTTTTGGGTTTTCTTCTAACCCTCTGCCTTTCTTCTGTTGTAAAGTAAAGGCTCTATATCAGTGCTCAGTACCTAGACTGTAAGCTGTTTGTTTCCTGGTAACTTACTGCATGAGTTCAAAACTTTAAATATGTGTCTATTTCATCTTCAAATACTTGGATTGATTTCGATGCTCACCGTCCAAGTAATTCATGGATGACTGAAAGCTAGTCTCTGAGCACTACAAGAATAACATGTAAACAACTTTTAACAACCTCAAAGATGCTGTTCTTATATACAAAATACATTTTAGGAGTAAAACTGTATCAAATCCTGTCCTACTTTGATTTGAAATTTGGTTGTTTGAGCTTCTATATGGATTTGGACTTAATTTGCCCACTTCAGACTTAAGGGAAATGTTGTGTATGTCTCTTTGTTTTTGTTTTTGGTTTTTTTTTTTTGGGCCTGCTTTTCCTTCATGCTACCTTAGCTGTTCTGCAGAGGACAGTTGGTGGGGGGGAACTGATGTGCTGGGATAGATAGGTGCTCATGGATAGATTGCCTGAGATTGTCATTCATTAGTTATGTAGGAAGTGCAATTTTCAGAGTAAATGCTGTGTAAAGATTACCCTGTTAGTTAAGCAGCGAGGGAAGAGGTGATAAAAATAGACAAACAATAAAGTTGCTTTCCACTGTAAAGTAGACTTTTCAGTGGAATATGCTCAGCTTGGTGTGAAACGGTGAGAAACGAGATTGGATTTGTTTGTGGAGCTGTACAGTGGCAAATGAAGAAAAATAAAAGTAATGTCATTATGTGTACAGTAATCTGATGGTCCTTTCATGGCCAGGGTGACTGAAGGAGTCCCAATTATTCTGTTGCTTAAAATTAGTATGTAGTGCTAAAAACCAGTAAAAAAAATAAATGTGATTATGTGTGTTATTTGGTAATTTATGTTTGTAAATCTAAGACTCAGCTGTTGTTAGGTTTTGAGAGTCGAGCAGATGCTGTGGTCTGTGTTGGATGGGGCACTCAGGGCTGGAGCAGTGGCAGGAGCAGGAGCAGGAGCAGTTCTGCCTCTGTGCACTGGATGGCTCTGCAGACTGTGACTGCTGCAGCTGCACAATGTGTTCTAAGGGAACTGCTGCATTGTACCTGCACAGGGTTTAATGCTGGCTGGGCCATTTGGCTATTTGCCATAATTGGCTTTCCATTCCCTTGATTGGAATCATAGATAAAAATTTGCTAATCCACTTTCTTTGCTGAAAGTATTAGAAAAGTAATCCATCTTTTAAAAATGCTTGAGCAAAATCATACGGTATAAAGAGTACTTTATGGAATAATGAGATTAATGAGAACTGTAAGGCGTACGCAATTTAAAACGTTTTTCGATGGTTTTAAGGGGAAAAATGCAATCTGGGCACTATGAAGCCATAAGTACTTCCTTTTTTATGCACTGCCTTTCAAATGTACATTACATGTTATGCTTCTGTCTACATGATAAAATGTGAGTATGTATTTAGGCAGAAGGATCTGCTATTTATTTGTAATTTTGTTATGTTGAAAAATATCTGATTCAAACTTGTTGGCTGTGTTCTTTCCCCCCTCTCCCCTCTTCTGCCCACAGGGCATCAGAGCACGTATTTTGGAAACCCTTGTAATGCTCATTCTTCTTGCACTGCTTATCCTTGGAATTGTATGGGTGGCTTCAGCACTCATAGACAATGATGCTGCCAGTATGGAGTCGTTATATGGTATGGAATGCAAAAGAACCATCACACTAGTTTAGTCTTACAGAAATGGATGTTTTCAGTTAAATGTATTTCATGTATGTATGCTATGTTAGTATTGCAAAGCTTGTCAAGAAGCTCTGTTAATTCAGCACCATTTCTCCTATTAAATTCTGTCACATAAGTAGCCTGTTTGTAATAAGCTAAGGCTGTGCCCAATGTTTTCTTTACAGACCTCTGGGAATTCTACCTCCCGTATTTATATTCCTGTATATCACTGATGGGATGCTTGTTACTTCTCTGTAAGTATTTTATTGATTACTCCAAAGGATGAATGATTTTATCCTGGGTTTTATTGGTGTGTGGTTTGGTTTTGGGTTTTTTTTGAAGAGTAAAGGAAACTTTTTGATTTTGAAAGTTAAGAGTGTGGGATTTTTTTCCCAATAAGTTTAAATTTAGATGTAAATTTGTTAGGTTTGGACTATAAGGTGGAACAAACACTACCTTACATTTTCAGGTTTTGAGAAACTTCATACCTCACCAAAATAATTTCAGCTTATAACTTCTTAAAGCAGGTGGTTGAAAAATAGAGACTCCATTCTTCAAAGAAAAGCACAGTTTTTAAATGAAATGTCTGCAGGAGGTTGGTAGTATGGAGAGAAAATTATTTTGGAACACTTTGTCCTACATTCAGTAAACTACCTTTCTTCCTTTTGTAATTGAAAGTGTTGCTATATCAAGAGGAGTTGGGAGACAGTGCAGTCAGGTTTCATAATCAGAGCTGGTGCCTGGCCAGTCTGCAGGTCAGTTATACAACTGCATTTGAAACAACTGCAGTAAAAACCCCAGCCTTATACCAACTAGTCCTAACCCAGAGTTCAGTCATCCATGTTTAGGGGAATATGAAAGATGATGGAAGGCTCCAAATCCCACTTAGAATTTCAGCTCCCTCCCTAAATAATTTCCAGAAGAGTTTTAAGGAGGACAGAACACATCTCTTCTAGACTGTCATGGCTTCATCCTTTCTCCAAGCTTGATAGGTTCACAGCTAACACAGAGCTGTCACTCTGGAGAAAGGGTGTGGAATGATAATTTGAAATGTCCCTAAAACTAAGCAGATCTGTCTGTGAAAAAGACCTTTGTGAGTCTCCTTAGGTTCTCTGTACGTGCAGATTCTCAAATCCACTTTGCAGGGAGGTGGGAGAAGTAAACCAGTGTGGTGCTCAATGTCTCATGCAGGCTGTTCCACAGTGTGATTGAGGAGAGGTGCTGAATGTTAAAATGGGAGCTTGGTTTGCAAACTTCTGCATCTGTCCTGCAGTTTGTTTCAGCAGAGCTGAAAGCACAATGAATTCTGGGGCTGTTGTAAACCAGTTCACCAACATCATTGTGAATAAATGCTGTTTTTTGGATGAGTTATGTGTAACTTAGACAAGCAGTTCACTGAATCACTGGCCCTCCAAGCTGTTTGATATGTGTAGTTGGAAGGGCAGCACACAGCAGTGGGGCAGTAGAGCTTCTGCTGGTTTCTTTGCTGAAGCATTGTTTGAGTAAAGCTTACTGGAGTGGTGATATGAAGCATCACTTCCCTTCTCTCTTCTCCTTCTCCTACAGTAAAGGAAGACTAGCTCATTAGATTTTTGAATACTCTTGTATTTTTCCTGTAGTACATAGTAGTTACAGTGAAACAGCAGTTAACAAAAATAAATGCAATCCTCACTGTAAAATATTATGTGCTACTTTTTTTGGCAATGCTGTATTATTGTAATGGAAATGATAAATGTATATTCTCATTTCTGCTGTTCTGGCAATGCTGTTTTATTGTAATGGAAATTATAAATGTATATTCTCATTTCTGCTGTTACAAATTCCTTTGTCTCCTATATATATATCAGTATTTGAAAGCTGTTCTCCTTAAACTGTTGTTTTCCACTAATAATTTTCAGTTACCATGGGGGAGCCTTTCTCCCAGGAAGCATATATGCACCATTCCTGGAAGCCATCACAGGCTAGGATCAGAAAGGGCCCATTGTTATTTCACAGAAAATAGCTTAAAATCTGGTGGCTGAGCCTACTATCAACTGATGTTGCAGGATGACTTTCAGAGCAAAGCAGCTCTGGGATCTCTTGACTTTGCAAGCTACACCTATACTAATAAATTACATGTGCTTGAGATGTTCTCCAGTGCCTCAGCCAGGCAGTGTCATTCCATCCAGGATATTTGCAGTTGGCAGAAGGTGTCTGTGTATGTATTACCTCGTGATAATGGTTCCTGGGCTGTGTGAACTCTAGAACTGCACCTGAGAATTGTTTGGGGAAGGTTCTAACTGACTCAGGGCAAATCATGCTAGGGATAGTTCCAGCAAAATACCAGTGTAGGCAATCCAGTCTTACTGCCCAGGAATGTATCCTGGCATTGTTGAATTTACTAGTGTTGACATAGCCTCTGGTGCCACATGCTTTGAACAAATTATTTGAGCAAGTTTAAGATACCTGATTATATGGTGTTCCTTGTTGAAAAAAAAAAAATCACAGTTAAGCTCTTGGAGGGGAGAGATGCTTGTCTTGTTCAGAATTCATATGCTCGCATTGTGTTTAAAAGTTTCTAGTGGAGCTTGAAGCTCTTGCAGTTCTCTTGAAACCCATGTTTGGTTCTGTGTGGAATAGCACACTGAGAATACAAATAAAAATTGGTCTTTGACTTACAAATGACTGTTTTGCATACTCTTTTTTGCCCGGCAGTATGCACGCCAGTGGGACTCTCACGGATGTTTACAGTCATGGGTCAGTTGCTGGTGAAGCCGACAGTAAGTACCACAGAATTGTGTCCTCCTGTGCTACCTGTGAGAAGGTAGAATGGCATTTGGGCACTCCAAGAATGCTTGCACTCTTATGCTTGCATGTAAGTGTGGTCACATCCTGGAATAGATTGCCCAGGGAGGTGGTGGAGTCACCATCCCTGGAGGTGTTTGAAGCTTCTGGATCTGATGCTGGAGGATATGGTTTAGGGTTTAAGGGTTACAGCAGGGTGGCAGGGTAATGGTTGGACTTGATCTTTGAGGTCTCCTCCAACCTTGATGGTTCTATGATTCTACAGAACTCTCTTCAGGTCATCAGAATTTCTGTAGCCGTTTGTGTACATGGTTAAAATTTTTCATGTAGTACAGAAGCCTGTTTATCTTTTTTCCACGGAAAAATTGTTTCTTGTAATAATACAGTCTTCCTGTGATTTCTCAATATATATCAATGCTGCTGGTATTAGTTATTGTCAGTATTGCCTACTGTGGCTGTTCTGAAAATGCCTGAAAAGTGTTCTGAGTTCAGGAGCAAAGGATACAAGACTGAAATAAGGCTGGATAACAAGAAGGGTATCTAGGGGTACACTTGGATGGGTGAGATGTGGTTAATTGGCATCTGTAAGAGCTTTTTATACACAGATACTCTTCTGCTCGTGTACTGAATACTGTGAGGGAAGGGTGAAGCTTATATCATGTACAAGTGATCTGGTGGCTTGGCTGTCTTGTGTCCTGGTTTGTATGTACTAAAATTTGGGTGCACTTAGGTCTTGTTTTCCTTTTCATTACACAGTTCAACCCTGAAAATACAAAGAAAATATGTACTGTTTTGCTCTCTGTAAGCTTTAAGCTCAGAACACCTGATAGTAAGCTAGACAGACTTCATTGATTTGACTTTAGCTTCTGATAGCAGTTTATATTTGCTTGAAATACTGGATTATGTGAAAAGTTAGGTTTTAATATACTTCTTTCAAATTTGCATTTATTTTTGTTTCAATCGAGTGTGAACATTGATATGATTTGAGTATAGGTCAGATGTACTGTTCTACCTCTTTAGATTGAAACTGAACATAGGAGCCTTGACCCGAAATAAAAACTTAGCAGGAAGTTTGATTGCAGTAAAGAAACAAGGCTATAACAGAATGGAATAATCATTTGTGAAGTTATTTGTATCAGTATTGTGCAGTTGTAGACTATGTATTTAAAATATAGGTTACTTGAGCAAAGTGAACCTGACTATATGAGTGCAGTCAGGATAACAAGTGTCTGATACTCAGTTCATGTTTCTGTTTCCAAATACAGATCCTGGAAGACCTAGATGAGCAGATGTATATCATTACTTTAGAGGAAGAAGCAATTCAGAGGAAGCTTAATGGTATGTAGGCTATGCCTGTCCTGATGCTGCTTCAGAAACAGCAGTTAGAGTGGTTCTGGTCAGGAGCACTGGTCTCACTGTTACTCTTTGCTCTCAAAATAGAGAATTTCAACATCTTAGCACATAAATGTTACAGGCTCATGTTTTACTGCTCACTGGGGTGTTCAAGGTTGGCTCTGTGTGTGTAGTTTACTTTGGTTTGGTTTTTAACATGTTCATCTGTTCTAATGGGAATCTTGTTGGACTGAGTAAGCAATTGAGTAGTGGCCAGACCCACCACCCTTACTGCAAAATAGCTTGGATTGGTAAATGACTGTTTTAGCTTTGTCTGAAGAACACTGAATTTATATTAGTGAGAGTCTCTACTTCCTGCAATATGAGCTTATTTTTTTAATTTCAGTTCATTTTTAATGTCAGTTCATTATTTAGAATCTTAGGTGATAATCCATTAAAAATCAGAGCAGTCCTTTATATTCTAGGAGCTATTTGGTGTAAAAATGTTTTAGACTTTTTGTATTTAATGTTGCAATTTTGCATTTCTTGGTAAGGTATTTCTGTTTTGAAGTATTTAAAAAACAGTATGAAGCTTTGGCTTCTAAGAGAAAGGGTATTGCAGCATGACAGGCACCAATTATGGAAAATGTATTGGCTCTATAAACCTGGAAATCATATTGTGCAAGTCTTCTGACTTGCTTTTAACTGCATGGATAAGCCATCCATCCACAATTTATACAACTGCTTCAGGTTGGAAAACCAAAGAATATTCATGTCATGACACATCCATTGTTGTGCTGTCTTATGACTTATTTTACCCTTAATTTTTTTCATTTCCTGCTTTCCCCCTCCCCCACTTTTCAGCCTTCTGTCTTAATCTTTTCTTCTATGATGTCTCATTAAGTGTCCTTTAGTAGTTGCTTGGTTGGGGAAAGTACCTTTGATAGCAGAAATCACAGTGATCATCTTTATTCCAGTGCTTAAAATTTGTGGAGCAGTAGTGACTTCTTTGTGCTAAAATCAGCCTTTGTTTCAGTTTAAAAGTAATGTTTACCTTTGTTTTGGAAGCTCAGGTTTTTAGACTGACACACGTGTGTATGTATATGCATTCACATACAGGCAAAAAGGTGCATGCAGTGAATGTCTTTGAAGCTGTGATGGAGTAATTATAATTGTTCTGTGTGTTTGATGTTAGCTAGGAACTGTAAAATATTTGTTACTGAATATTTTATGTTGTCATGGTGATTGTGCTTATGTACAACACAGAAAAACACCCCTATAGTTTTCAGGTATCTGTTGGAAGCAGTGCAGAGAGGGTTCTGCTATACAGGTAGAGAACGTGATTATTTAGGTGCTTTATGTGCTTGTCTGTTATTTTTCTGTGTAGAAGTCTGAGCAAGGGTTGTTATTATTGCAGTTTAGTAATATCACTCGTGGGGTGGACCTAGTCTGTTTGTAGGTGTCTCCAAATTAGATGTGGATTTAGGAGGTGTGCAGGTGACTCCTCCAGCCACTAGCCGAGAGACTGGATTCGCTTCCCGAGGGAAAAGTGGAACTGCAATCCCCCCAAGTTCCACAGGGCTCTAATCAGCCTACTGTGCTGGTTTGAGCTGAAGTAGAGTTAACTTTCTTCACAG